ATGCATACAATGGACTCAGGACAAGGTGCGTTCCTTTAAGTCTTCCTACCAATATGACCAAGTTGCGAAAGCAAGGTCAAACAACTTCTCTTTATATCATGTTGGGCGAAGCTCCACTATCAGACCGTAAATCACCTTAACTGACCCAAGGTGTCTGTATCCTTAGAACTTTCTAGTTAAAGCATGCTTTTTGGGACCATTACCTATTTTCGGGTTTATGTCGACGATGCCTAAGGTTATTTGTCGGCAAGCTCGACACTACTACTTTATAATGGAGATCATATTCCGAAATATGACGGTCAAGTTCCCTCTATTTATCTTGCGTAACTCTGCTTTCTATCCTTAAAAAATAATTTAATTCAATAATATGCATATTTACGCTCAATGGTCTCGTAAAGAAGGATAGTTCATAGTATTTTGCTTCCTATTATTTTGTACAGCTATCCAACGTCTTAATATGATTTATCGTGTTAATCTCCCTCATCCTTTATCTTTATTCACCTGTCCTGATTATTGTCTATGTATTTTTATTTATATTATCCAAGGACTTAAATGATGGTGACTCTAGTTACGCCCCGGGAATTCTTGATGACAAGTCGGCTTGTGCTGCATGGCGCAGCAACCAGCGCCTATTCACCTCTTTGCTTGCTATATTCTCCGCAGCCGGCGGTCAGTTAGTCGGTCAGCGAGTAGGTGTCCGCTTGCGCGATGAAACTCGAGTGGCGGGACGCTTAGTCGAGGTCAACGGTCGTCTCAATCTGACGCTAGACCAAGGCGTTTTGGTTGAGAGACCTTACGGAGACCGAGAGATTCATATACTAAAAGTGAGTCACCTTTATCCTTTCTTCTGTCCTCCCATCAGTGATTGCAGCAAAAAATAAATGTTATCAGTCGTTTTCGCATTCCCGCTATTACTATTTATTCTGCTTCGGGTGGCCAAGTACCTATGAGATAGCTCGATCAGCGTCAGCACTAATACGCATATTTTCCTCATTGTTATCCCCAAACCCCTTAGCTCAAATGTGAATAAATGATTTATCTAAGGTATGAAATCCAAGATGGTGTGGCCTTTTGTGTGGTCACAGTCTCCTTTTGTTGTATAGAAGTTGTTTGACCTTGTTTTCGTAACTTGGTTGTATTGGTAAGAAGACCTTGTCCGGAGTCCATTTTATGCATGATCATTTCCAGAGTCGGACCTTGGACGTAGTACATTCCCAGACGTTTCGCCGGAATCGTTAGTGAGCATTGCCAGTCGCAGCACCACACTACTACTCGTCAAAGAGACAAGTCAAGCCGATCCTTTGACCAATTGTCTGCTAAACAATCATGGTATCTCTCTTGCCCCACTGGGCTAATCACCAATCCTATATCTTCGTATCACGCCGTCCCCGTTACAATTTTTGACTTGATTATTTAAATGTTGTATGGTGTGCCCCTTTGAGCGGCTTTCATGATAACTCTCTACACTCTACGCCGGCTTTCTCACTCCTTCACCTCCCTTCATCCTTGTGCTGGGAATGTTGATCAGAATCTGCCATATTGTTATGCAGTCCTCCCGTAGACCTTACCAGAGTCTCCATTTTGCTCCGTAGGATCCATCCGCTCTCTCCCTGGTTCATTCATTTCTTCCGACCCCTGCCATCCCATCTGTGATACTTGAGGCGTTATTAACCATCCCCTGCGTCTGGGTGACTAATTAGAGGCTAAAGCCTCTGAGTAAGTCTCATGGTCAAGCCTTTGCTAAATGGACGACGTCAATGGTAAAACAAGCCTACTATCAGCCAACTAGCTCCAGTCTCCTGTTTATATCCCTAATACCAAGTCTATGACTTGATATGCCCTATTCTGTTGTGTGCCAACCCACAAATGTTGTGGTTCAACATTGAACCTAATCAAAGCAAGTAGTACCACAACATTTGTGGGTTGGCACACAACAGAATAGGGCATATGAAGTCATATATTTGGCATGACCATGAGAATTACTCAGGGGCTTTAACCTCGAGTTAGTCTCCCAGAGGCAGAGTATGGGAAATATCGCATCGAGTAGCACAGATGGGGTGGCAGGCGTCGAGTGATTAGCCCACGATTATTTAGCAGACAATTATTCAAAGGATCGGCTTTATTTGTCTCTGACGAGTTGTAGTGTGCTGCTGAGGCTGGCAATGGTCACTGACGATGCCGACGAAACGTCTGGGAATGTACCACGTCCAGGGTCCAACTGGAAATTATCATGCATTCTATGGACTCCGGACTATGTGCGCTTTTTTAAGTCTTCCTACCAACATGACCAAGTTGCGAAAACAAGG